CTTTTCTCCCTCACTGCAGCTCTTGTGGAAATTCTTGCCCCAAATTCCAGTGATTTGTGCCCAGGATCTCTCCTGCAGTGTCAAAGCTTGGGACAAGCAGGAAGCCAAGGCTCAGGGGAAGGGGAACAATGGGGAATGAGACAAAGAGAACACAAAGATTGGGCACAGAACATTCCCAAGGATCTCTGTGGTGACAAAAAATCCTCTCATCCCAGGACTCTGCTGTGCCCTGACCTCGCTCTGCTCTGGTTCTGATCTCTGGTTCTGATCCCTGAGGTGAAAACACATTGCTGTGTCCTGCAGGGACCAACCTTGCCATGCGTGATGGATAAAAGTGGATTTCAAAGGGATGTGCAGCACAGGAACTTCAAAAATAACGTTAAAAATCTGGGTTTTGGGGGAAATTTTGAGAAGCAATGGCTACAGTGCAAATTCCTGGTTGGAGGAAGGTGTCCATGGCAGGGAGTGGGAATTTGGGGATCTCTGGGGTCCCTTCACACCCAAACCCTCCTGGGATTGTGGGATAAATTTGTGTGCAATGCACAGACACAGAGCAATGCACAAATACACCAGCGAGCCACCAAAATGCTGCCTTTGATCTTCCTAAAGATAAGCTAAAAATATTCAATCAACCCAATTTGTGTTGGAATTCAGACGTTCATGGAGAAAAGAAGGAAATACATCAGCTGAGGGTGACGAATTCGGCTTTTCCAGCCACAGCTCCCTGACCTCTCAGCCCCTCCCAGGCTGCTCTTGGCTCCATCCACGTTGGGGAAAGGATTCCAGCACTGGAGAGCCTGAGCTGCCCCTGGGGACACATCCAGCTGTGGGACATGGGCATCTACACCCTCCCCACACCCCCTGAGCTGCCTGGAGCTGGCCCTGCATACAATATTTTAAATTCATTATTTTAATTATCTATTAATTAATTAATAAATTTATTAAATTTAAAGTTAATAGAATAAATTAGATAATTAAATTCAATTAATTATTTTATATTAATGTAATATTTTATATTACACCCAGACATATAATATTTTATATTAAAATTATTAATATATTATAATATAATATAATGTAATATAATATAATATACTATAATATACTATAATATACTATAATATAATATAATATATATCATATATTATACATTTCTATTCTATTTTAAAATATTTTCAATTTTATATTAAAATTATGTGTATATATAATATTTCTATATTATATATACAATATTATATGTTAATATAATAGAAATTATATATGTTTATCTTATATATTTCTATATTATATATATTATTTATGTAATATAGAAATATACTAGTATGTATTTATATAATCTTTGCTATATTTTATATTATTTTAGAATTTCTATTTTTTATTATATTTTATATTAAATATTTTCTATTATTTTAATGATATTTATTTTAATATTATGTTTATTCTAAATATTTTTATATTTATATTATATTTATATTATTATATAATATAAATAATTATTTCTTTCTAAAGCACAATTAGGGCTTGTTGGGTTTTTGTTTAAATAAAAAAGCAAAGTGAGAGCAGCAGAGCAGGAGCATGGAATGTGATCCCAGGGCAGAGTCAAAGGAAGGATGCAGCACTTTGCTTCACACTGATTTCCAAATCTGACTTTTGCCCATTTCTCTGAGGGCAAGCAGCAAAATTAGCACACAAGAATTATTGTGTTATCTACCCCTTTCACAGAAATCATCATCTGGCATTCCCATCTGGTTTTCTATAAATTATGGAGGGAAAAGGGCTGAGTGTGTGGATATTTTTAAAAACAGGATCCTCAAATGAAATCTGTAAACGAAGAGCACCTTGCACTCATGTGTGGCTGATAAAGACACGGCAACAGCAGGCCCAGGAATTTTCAATCAGGTTTTTTCCTGATTTTATGGCCCAGCTTCCAAACTGTTCCCAATGGAAGAGTTTCCCCAGAGGGAGGATGATGAGGGAGGACAGCCAGGTACTTCATCTCTCACCCTGCAGCTTCAAAACTGCCACAGATGGGCTTGGCTTGCATGGTATAAAAGAGCAGAAAAATGAATTTCATAGCTACAAATTCATTTTTCAGCTTGTACAGGGAGAAGGCGACACAAGAGCCACACAATCCAGTCCCCAGGACATTCCCTGCCTGAAGGAGCAGCAAACACAAAGAACCAGAATTTGAGGTAATTTCCCTCCTGCATTTCACAACATGCAACTGAAGTGTGATTCAATGTATTTTCTGGTTACAAAATCATAATTATTACAGCTGCAAAATCAACTATTAACAAGAACATCTCCCTTTCTTTTCACCTTTTCACATCCTTCGTGTGTATTTCAGCTGGTTAAGTTGTGGGGCTTTTTTTTTTGGAAAGGGGGCAAGAAAACCACCAAACTCCTTGCCAGAAAGAAAATATGAGGAAAAAAGATTCCCAAATGTAGTTTGTTTTAAAAAGTGAGGCAATCCTGAGTGGCCCAGACAGTGAAACTCCAGCCCAGCTCTGCTCTCTGTGGGCTCTGACCACCAAGGAGGTGTTGTTTAACCCCACAAATTTCAGAAACCCCAAACTAGGTGGGAGCAGCACAAAATCCCCATTTTCTCACCTCATTCATTAATTCTCCAAACTGCTGGAGAGCCCAAGAGCCCCCAAACCCCAGAGCAGCAGGAAACTTCCCAGAGCCCCTCAGAACCCCCCGAAACCCCAGCACAGAGCTGCCCTTCCAAAGCAAACCCCAGGATTCCACAGCAGCACCCTCACAAGGGGAGATAAAAAACCACATTTTAGGCTGTTCCATTAGAGGGCATCCTACAACATCCTTTTGTGGTCAGAGGCTTCTCCTCATTCATATCCTCGGCAATAATTCATGGAAGGTTTTCCATAAGAGCCAGGAACATTCACACTCCCAGGGTTTTCATCCCTTGTAATTGCATTGATTGCATTAATAGATGAATTTTCTGGTTCAGTTGGGTGTCTGTTTCCCTTCCCTTATCAGGAGAGGGAGATTTTCAATATTTTTCCACAATGTGAGATGTGAATAAGCACCACAAAACTGATTCCAAACCTCAGGACAGCCAGATATCACACTTGAGAACAGCAAGGCACTGAAAAGGTGAGCAGGCTTGACCAGGTATTTTGAAATTAGAGATAAAAGTGAATATTCTCCAAAACTGCCCAAGACAGAAGCTCCACTGCCAAAATTCAACGTGGGGAGTGCTCAGAGCCTGCAGCAGGAGCCAAACCTGAGCTCCAGGACACAGGGAGATACGGTGCCAACAGCCACTGCTCCCACCCACCTACTCCATCTTTTAAAAAAATCTTCAAAAAATCTTTTCAGGCAGTTTATTAATACAGGTACAGAGAGACAGGCACAGTTTACGACCCTGAAAATCAGCAAGAAGCCCCAGGGCAGTAAAATCTGCTTGTAGTGATAAATATTTCCCTGACTGGGCTGTGACATGGATGAAGTACCTGTAGGTGCCCTGAAATCACTGCACAGACTGAAGGCACCAGAGGATCCAAAGGTAATAATATTGCAAATTAAGAAGTCTGGGCTAAGAAACAGGAGTTGACACGATAACATGAAAACATCACTGCCAGACAGATAACTCAGTCACAATAAATTACCATCCTATCGGACTTAAAAAGCAGAATGGAAAAGTGCTCCTGTCACACCACATGACAAATGAACTTCTGCCTGCTGAAATGCAAGATTAATGAAGGCACAGAAGAGACATGAAAGGACTTACGAGGATCCTGGGCTCGCTGTTGGCGGGGGACCTGGAAAAGTGACAGAAGAAAAACAGCGGGATGAGTTACGGCGAGGTAGCAAGCAGGAAGCTTTTGAAAACCTTTTAAAAGATAAAAGCACCAGTCTGTGGTGCTGCCTGTGGTTTATGGAGTTGAACAGAGGAGTGGCAGCCCCTCAGCACCAAAGGCAAGGCTGTATTGGCTGCAGAACATGACACAGGACAATAAACAGGTGAGCAGCTCACCCTCCCCTTGAAACTGCCTTGGGAGAACACCTAATGATTAATTTCTTATCAGAAATCAGAAAACATGGGAGATTTATGAAAAAAAAGACGATGAAACTCATCACATCCATCATTCCTTGTGTGTTATTTGTCCAGCTCCAAAGAGGATTAACCAGGACTGTGTGCAAATATCTTCATCTCAGTGAATTATTTCCCCCTGACCGTGGAGCAGGAGGGGGAGAAGACACACAAAACCTGTTTCTTGTTTGGAATCTTCTGAGTGCTGAGACCAGCTTTGAAGGCAGTTATCTCAATATAAACTTGGGAGAATGAGTGCTTATTTTCCCTGACAGGTATATATGGGGCTCATCTCAGGCCCTCAGCCTGCAGTGCCAGCTGAGGTTTCTCACTCACCAGACACAGCGGTCGCTCAGAATAAAGGAGTTTTTCCCCTCTGGTCTGAATCTACCCAGGTACTCCATTAATGGGGGCTCAGCCTGGAGCAAAGGAGGCTCAGGGGGGCTCTACACAAATCCTGCCAGGATAGGACAGACAGGGAGGGAACAGGAGCAGGACAAGAGGAAACAGCTTCAAGCTGTTCCAAGGGAGGAGGTTTGGATTGGCTATTGGGAAAATCTCTCCTCCAAAAGTGTTGGAACAGTCTGCTCAAGGCAGTCACCATCTCTACAACTGTTCCAAAAACTGGATGTGGCACCTGGGACATGGTTTAGTGGTGAACATGGTGGCAGTGCTGTGTGTTGGTTGGACTTGGTGATCTTAAAGGCCTTTTTCCAACCTGAACTTTCCATGATTCTATGAAAATACAGCTGTTCTGGCACTCCTATGGATGTAATTATTTAGTAAACCTGTGGATGGGGTTAAAAGGGCAGAGATGCCAGCCCTGTAGGACAGACAGCAGGGTCCAAAGTCTCTCTTCTCAGGGGTGTCCCGTGGCTCCTCAGCTCTCCAGGAGCTCCATCCAAGGCATGTTTCTGCCCTACCATCCTAACACCTTCTCTGGTTAAATGTTAAATGTTCTCCCATTTTGAGTCAGCTCATGGATTCCTGGCCTCTCTGCATAACCCAAATTTAATAAGTTTAACAAACTAGTCTTTTCCAACCTCAACAACTCCACACCAGCACGCTGCCTTCCCCTGGCCAAGCCCCTTCCCCTAAGCAGGAGCCGGGTTGAGTTTACAAGGAGCCCTCACCGAACTTGACGAAGAGCACGCCGGTGGTGGACACGCTCCTCCTGCCGTTGGTGGCCACGCACTGGAAGTAGCCGGTGTCGGTGGTGTCCAGGTTGCGGATGCGCAGGCGGGAGCCGTACGGGGTGGCGCGGAAGGAGATCCTGCGCGGCTCCTGCACCACGGGCGCGTCGTTCTTCAGCCACCGCACCGTGGGAGGGGGGTTCCCCGACACCTTGCAGTGCAGCTCCGCCGTCTGCCCCAGCGTGGTGGTGATGTTGTTCATGGGCTCGTCCAGCGTCAGGAAGTAATCTGGGGTTGGGGAGAAAGGAAGGGGGATGAAGGGATGCGGAGCAGGGATGGCGTTGTGGAGAAAGCTCCCGCTGGTCTTTGGAAGTGACACAGAGGAGGTGGATTGTCACTGACATCTTTTATGGAAAATCCTTTCCTTAGGATTTTTCCTCCTGAGAAGCTGAGAAACCTCAGGAACACAATCAAGCATTGATTATCTGCTGCTGTGGAATGCAACAGGTGCATCTGTGATTGGTCTCATGTGGTTGTTTCTAATTAATGACCAATCAGCCCAGCTGTCTCAGACTCTCTGTCCGAGCCACAAACCTTTGTTATCATTCTTTCTTTTTCTATTCTTAGCTGGCCTTCTGATGAAATCCTTTCTTCTATTCTTTGAGTACAGTTTTAATATAATATATATCATAAAATAATAAACCAGCCTTCTGAAACATGGAGTCAGATCCTCATCTCTTCCCTCATCCTGGGACCCCTGTGAACACCGTCACAGTGGGTAGCAGGGTTCCCTCTGCTGTTTCAACATCTCCTATTTGGCTTCATTTAGCACAGAAAAACACTGCTGCTCTTTTCTCTTTTCTTTTTCCTAACCAAAACACAGGAAAAACATCTCAGCACTCCAGTTGCTCATTTTGATGCTGACCTGTCTCTGCTCATTCCAGAACCCACCAAATGTAGGAACATATGAAAGGAACCATTCAGAAGTGTAAATCCTGTGACCTAGAGCAGCTGTGGCTGTCCCTGCACCCCTGGTAGTGCCCAAGGCCAGGCTGGATGGGGCTTGGAGCAGCCTGGGATAGTGGGAGGTGTCCCTGCCATGGCAGGGGTGGCACTGGATGAGATTTAAGGTCTCTTCCAACCCAAACCATTCCAGGATTCTGTGATCCTGTCTCCAAGCCATTCTTAGTGACCCCCAGGCTGAGCACATGGAGTGTTATCCATGATTTTGTAAGCACCAGCTGCAGAGATGAGGAATAAGGATCATACCTGGGAAAGGAGACTTTATTCTCACTCAGTATTTCCATGGCTAAGAGTAGTGAATGTTACCTCCACTCTGAAACAGGGCTCATGATTGAAAAATCAAATGACATTAAAATTACGAAGATGAATCTCTCCTAAACCCATTCCTGAGCACTGCCTTCTGTCCAGGGCTATTTCACTGGGCATCCCTCAGGAAGAGGCCATTCCTCATTCCCTGTATTCACCACTTCATTAAATCCTTTAAAGATGGGTTGGGGATGGGGAATGGAATCCTCAGGCTCTCATCTCCATGTCAGAGGTTCAAAACTTAACGGTGGCCACCATCAGCTGCTGGCTGTCCCATCAGCAGGGTGGCCAAGGAATGAGAAATCCCAACTGCATCTGGCTCCTGAACTCTCAGAGCCAGACCAGGAGGTCAAGAAAAGCCAGAATCAGGCAGTGAACTTGGAATCACAGAATTATTTGGGTTGGAAGGGACCTTGGAGTTAACCCATTTCCATCCCCTGGCATGGCAGGGACAACTTCCAGTATCCCAGGCTGCTCCAAGTCCTATCCAACCTGGCCTTGGACACTTCCATCCCCAAACTGGTGCTGTGCTGCTTGTGCTCCATCACTCTCAAGTCCACCTGCAGCAAGAAACCTTCCTGAAAGTGTGAAAAACCCCTCCAGCACGTTCCAAACCAGCTCAGCCACCCAGCCTGCCTAAGTACGCCACTTCCCTAATTATTCCTGTAATCTTGGCTTGCCCAGCTCCTCCCTTCATTATGGTTTGTGGAGAGCAGTATCTCCTGCCTTTGTTTTTAATCTGTTTAGCACACAGCTTACCCCGTGTTTGCACAGCACTTTGAACAAAGCCTCCCTGTCCTCACCTGGTCCCAGCAGCCATTTGGGACAAACGTTTGGCACCCAGGCCCTGCCCACAGATATTTTTTTTTTCCACGTGTATTTTTTCAATTAAGTCCTAATGTGCAGGTGTGAAACTGTGCTTCTCTCAGGGACAGGATGAGAGGGAACGGCCTCACGTTGCACCAGGGGAGGTTTAGATTGGGAATCAGGGAAAAAATGTGCTGGGAAGAGCTGTAAAGTGTTTAAACAAGGTGCCAAGGCAGTGGTGGAGTCACCATCCCTGGAAATGTTCAAAAAACATGTGGAGTGGCACTTGGGGACGTGGTTTAGTGGTGAATATGGTGTTGGTTGGACTTGGTGATCTTAAAGGGCTTTTCCAACCTGAACATTCCATGATTCTATGAAAATACAGCTGTTCTGGCACTCTCATAGATCCAGTGATTTAGGAAACCTGTGGATGGGTTAAAAGGGCAGAGATGCCAGCCCTGCAGGGTCCAAGTCTCTCTCAGGGGTGTCCCATGGTTCCTCAGCTCCCCAGGGCCATTTCTCCAAGCTCCATCCAAGGCACATTTCTGCCCTGCCATGCTGACACCCTCTCTGGGAAGCAGAGCTCCAGCCAGCCCATGGATTCCTGGGCTCTCTGCACAATCTGGATTTAATAAAGCCCCACTGGGCTGGGACCAGAGAACCACAGTTAATTACCCAGTGTGGCATTTCTGAACCACAGCCATTTATTTAATCCCTGATAATGCTCCTTCAGCCATCTCCAGCCCAACAGGGAGGGAAGCAGCCCTGGATGGGCTGCCTGACAAACAGCACAGGGAACAGGATGGGTTAAAGCTCCTGAGCAACACAGGAGAGGCAAATGAAGGAGTGAGGATGAAGGCACGTTTCCAAAGGCTGGAAAAGGATTTTGAGGTATCAACAGAAATTTTTAATCAGTGAAAAAGTGTGGCTGCAACTTCTCTGTAAGTACCAACACAAGTGGCCTCAGGAGCTGCTGACTCCTCTGATTGTTCTCCACCTTCCTCCAGGAGCTACTGCAGAAACACTAAAACAAATTCATCTCCTAAATTCACCCTAGATTAGTCCTCAGATCTGTACATTTAGCATCTGAATCACAAACCAGATCAAGCAGCTCACCTGAGATGAGATTTAAACAGGGAGGGTTTGAAGCCATTGGGAGCTCTGGGAGATGTTTCTCACAGATAAAGCAGTTTTGGAACTGAAAATAAACTCCCAAAAACCTTGGATTGCTGCTGAGGCACACAAAATGATGAGCATCCCTTCCCTGGCATGCACCAAACTCCTCCACTGCTGCCCTTGCCTGGTGTGGAGGGGCTGGAGAGAAGCCCAGCTGTATTTTTATTGTCTCTCTCACCTTCCAAAACCCATCACAAGGAGAAATTCTTTCCTGTGACAGGGGTGAGGCCCTGGCATGGTTTTCCTAAAGAAGCTGTGGCTGCCCCTGGATCCCTGGCAGTGCCCAAGGCCAGGCTGGAGCCCCCTGGGACAGGGGAAGGTGTCCCATGGCAGGGGTGGGATGGGATGGGATGGGATGGGATGGGATTTAAGATCCCTTCCAATGAATAATTCCTCTGCCCCTCTCCTTCCATCCAGGAGCTCCCCAGATGGACTGACTCCCTCTGACCTAAAGGACAATTTCTTAGAAGAAAGGATGGGTTTTGTGCACTGGGAATGATCCAGCCTGGTGGCACTGGCCTTTGGAAAGTCTGAGTTTAATCCTGGCTCGGAGCAGCCCCGGGTGAATCAGCCCAGTTGTGATTTTTAGAAGAGCCAAAGGGAAGTAGACACCCAAAGCCAATCAAAGCTCACATGGGATTTGTGCAACTAAGGCCTTTTAAAAACAGCCTTAAACCTTTTGGCTCGATGTCTCCAGCCATAAAGTGAGGATAATAATCCCTCTTACATCATGGGGAGGCTGCTATGTGCATTAATGAGATAATGCTCATAAAGCACTTTGAAGGTGAAAAGTGCTATGCTGGGATAAACACTGTTATTATATTTTAAGTTAAATCTCAGGGTTTCGAGCACAGAACAAAAGCCTGTCCATATTTTAGAGTAGCACTCTATAAAAACATTTGGGAAACGTTTTAATTTCCAGAAGTACGGGAGAATAGCCTGAAAGAGTTCTAAATAAAATTTAGCCCACCTATAATTTAATAATAGTCAAACTGATTTTTTTTTAATTTGTAAAAACAATTTACTGCTGGGCCTAGACCCTGAATGCCAAGTTTCAGCCCACAGAGAGGGTTTTTTTTAATGGCTGAGTTATAAACCCTTGAAAAATGCTGACAGCCCCTTTACTAGAGCAGCACTAGCGGGTGCCCTATAATGAACTTTTAAATGACTTGAGATAATATCTGGAAAGCCAAGCCTGAAATATATTTCTGGGTTTGAGCCATTGCCAAGGCAAACACAACACATCATAAGTCATCCTCATGATTCTGAGAGCATAAATTGGAGACACTGCATATAAAACCCAAATATTAGGTATCCTTCATGGCCAAACTTTGGGCTGGTTTGATGTTACAGAACAGCAACAGCTGTGCAAGGACGAAATGTGGAGCGTTGCGTGTCTCCAAAGAAGAAAAGTGTCTGTATTTCCACAGCTCTGCCCTGACATTGTTAAATAGGAGCCTGCCCGGTCCTAATAAATCCTCCACTATTCTACTGCTTTTAAGTGGAACCCAGGTGGCTTTCAAAATAAAAGCTCGTCCTGGCCGGCCAAGGAATGTTAATCTGCTCTGTGACCACATGGTTGCTCTATCTTAAATTACCAAGGACGCAGCTCAGAGCAGTAACACCCTCTTGGCTTGCAGGAGGGTTTTGCTGGCCACAGGGAGACCTTTCCCCCTGTGCTGCATGTTTCTGATTTCACAAGGTGTTTAAAGCACGATGGGGATGCAGGATTAGAGCCTGGAAGGGTCATTTTATGAGAAGAGTTGTTGTTTCATTTATCCTTCTCTTTCTGCCCTTCTGATCTTTCGGAATATTCAAAGAAAAGCTAAAATGAAAATCTCTGCTCAAGCTTAAACCAGCTTTAATCCCGGTGCACAAGAAAGGCCGGTGAGCCAAGTTCCTTCCACTGCAGATGGGGAACAACACATTTCTCTGCAAACATCTCCAGACCTTTCCTCAGGCAGCTTGGGGACACC